GATTATCTATATGCATGTTTTGGAATTTCATCAGTGAATCTGCTATGGCCAAGAAATGAGGGTTGGGTTTGGCATTAAAGAAGAGTATAAAACTGATCCCCCACCTTTTGCCAATCCTTCTTTTGATGATAATTATTTTTAGTTACCGTATATACTCATGTATCATGCGACCTTTGAAAACCTAATTTTGAAGAGTTACATGACGACAGTAAATGGATTTAGAGTTTGGTCAACGGTGGAGCCACGGCCAGCAGTACACACGCTAATGATGTGACCCTCTTCAAAATGAGGTCTTAAAAGCCGCAGGATACGCGTGTATATACGGTATATATAACAAGCAAGCCTATAAACATATTTTTTGGAAGTTACTTAAATTCTGTCCACAATATAGAAATGGAAAACATAACAATGGCCAAGAAATGGGAGATGAGTTTAACACTAAAGGACAATACAAAACTGATTCCTCATTTTCTGTCATCCTTTCATTTGATTACTTCAAAGTTGGTTTTGGAATTTCATCTGTGAATCTGCTATGGCCAAGAAATGGCGAATGTGCTTAATATTAGAAAACAACACAAAACTGATCCCCCACTTTTTACCAACCCTTCTTTTGATTATAAATATTTTATAGTTACCGTATGTACTCGCGTATCATGCGACTTTTGAAGACCTAATTAGGAAGTTAATTTGTCAACAGTAAATGGATATATAGTTTGGTCAAAGGCGTAGCAAAGGCCAGCGGTACATATGCTAAATTTATATCTCGCGTATGATGCAACCCTCTTAAAATTAACTTCAAAATAAGGTCTTCAATAATCGCACGATAGGCCAGTATATACGGTATATATTATACGCGCCATCAGTTTTGTCAAAATCAGGTTTATTTTAAATGTAGCTGTACCTTTAAACTAGAGTAAATGAATATATTTTTTACTGGTTTCATTTACGTAATGTGAGGAATGGAGGCGTTAACATAATAATATTATCAATTAATATAATATTATATATTAATGAGTATTATATAGTCGCAAAGTGAGGAATGGAACAAATTATATGATGTTGTAAAGTGAGAAATTGAAGTATTAATATGTACTTGTAAAGTGAGTAATAGAAAAAACAAAATACAAAGTCTTAAAGTAAGGAATGGAAGAATTAATATGTGGTCGTATAGCGAGGAATGTAAGAATATGAAGTCGTAAAATGAGGAATGGGTGCATTAATATAATATGGACATAATATACATACACACACACACACACACACACACACATATATATATATATATATATATATATATATATATATATATATATATATATATATATCATAGCATAAAAATATGTAGTCATTTTTGAAGAATGGAAGAATTTATATGAAGACGTAAAGTGAGGAATGGAAGAATTTATATGAAGACGTAAAGTGAGGAATGGAAGAATTTATATGAAGACGTAAAGTGAGGAATGGAATAATTTATATGAAGACGTAAAGTGAAGAATGGAAAAATTTATATGAAGACGTAAAGTGAGGAATGGAAGAATTAATATGAAGATATAAAACTTAATTATTGAATTTAAATCTTAAAAGCGAGAAATGCAATTATTGGCATGAAGTGAGGAATGGAATTAGTAACAATAATAGTCAATATAAAATTATATGTAATAGCGAATTATTATGTAGTCGCAAAGTGAGGAAACACAGAATTAATATGAAGTCGTAAAGTGAGGAATGAAAGTATTATGACAATTTCTCGGACATTCGGGCCGGTAAATATTGTTAATACTGTTTATTATAAACAGAGCATTTACTCAAATATTTGTGTCTATAAAAAGAATGTGTAAACATAAAAATGTCTTAATATATATATGTGTGTGTGTGTGTTTGTTCCTCTAATTATTAGACTGTTTGGAAAATAATGCCCCATTTTAGAATCAACATTTAATCCTGAATTAATGCATTTAAACAGTATTGAAAGAAATCAAAATAGGAACACCTATACATTTCTGCCAACGTTTTACAAGTCGATTAAAGCCATTATGAGAAAAACCCTCAAGGTTTGGATGCCAAGAAATATTTTGAAAGCAGTTTCTGCATCTTTGCAACGAGGTGATTTTGAATGTCTTTTCGCTTAAAACATTGTCCAGCTGTTAGAAAAATTAGTAGTCAATGGGCGAGAAATCTGGAGAATACCTTAGATATCGCAAAGTCTCGTATCTACTTCTGCATTGACATCCTGGTAATATGTAACCGATCATTGTCTTGAAGCAGAATTGAACCTGGTTGATTAATTAGTGTCAGTCGCATTTTGATGTAACTGTAATGGCGGACATACATATACAAGTGGATGAATAATGCATTTATATAAGTAACTAAAATGTAAGTGTGGGCGGAACCCGATGGCGACAAGAAAACTCCCTCTTTGTCCTTTCCACCCGATGGCACGATGATGGGTGGGAGTTAATCCCATAGATTGTCACTTGTTAACATAGTCTGCACCCTTCTTTCCTAGACTTTCAAAGGGGAATATTTACCCCAATACTGAATATATAAAAGGTTAAGTCTACTTTATTTGCTCGATGCTTACGGAAATGTATTAGGTTGTTTTATTTCTGAATTAATGTATTTAAACACCGTTTAAATATTAGTAACATTGAACATCTGTACATTTCCGAGTTACAAGTTTATTCATGTCTTCAGGATAAAGATTTAAAGCTTGAAATCCCATGGATTCTTTGAATGCAGTTTCTGAATCCTCTTTGCAACGGAATGATTTCTGGCTTAAAAATGATGCTTAGAAAAGTGATAATCAGTGACGAGAAGTCAGCGATATATGGTGAATGTGGTAAAGTTTTATATCCAAATTCAGTGAGGTTCTGCTGTGTCAGCCTGGCAATATGTGGCCGATCATTGTGATGAAGTTTATTTGAACCTCATCGATTTACCAGAGCTGGTCGCCTTTTGTTTAACTGAATGTGCATTTCGCCTAGTTGCTGACAGTAAACATCGGCAGTGATGCTTTGGTTAGATTCCAGAAATGTGTAATGGATAACACCGATGGTTGACAACCAGACAGTTACAATAATCTTGTGTTGATGCAACTTCGCATTTGCTAAGTGTTTACAACCCCACTTCCCATTACCTCTAGTAACCGGTTTTACCAAGTGGTCCTTTTTCTAAGTGTTGACCAGTCCTAATTCATGGTACTGTGTGCCTTATCTCAGCAGGCGTGGTATGTTTTCTACCACTTGCCGAATTTGGAAACAAAGGTGTAACTTCCGTTATGAGTGAAATCATTCATGATCAGTCTTATATTAAAGAAGCCTGAATAGTCACTTCATATCATTTCAATATATTCAGATACACATAAAACGAAACAGAACAATTTACCGACGCACACACACACACACACACACACACACACACACACACACACACACACACACACACACACATATATATATATATATATATATATATATATATATATATATATAACTGCATAGTACATGCGACAGATAACGTAAAATGCATACACGCTTATATGCGTAGTCTGTGCCGCGCCAGGAAATTTTTCTCCCCGGAGTCGATACTTCAAATATACAAAACAACCATTCGCCCTTTCATGGAGTATTGCTGCCATATATGATCTAGGGCACCTTCTGTTTAACTCGGAGTTCTTGACAAGATCCAGAGACGGATATGTAATATAACTGGCCCTGATCTGGCGTCTCGTCTACAGTCACTCTCTCAGAGACGCGCCGTCGCCTCTCTCTGTCTTTTCTACAAATACTTTCATAGTAATTGCTCCGATGATCTGCTTTCACTGGTTCCCAGACTCCATGAATTCAAGCGCCCTACGAGGCTGGCATCCCGCTCCCACCCTTACACTGTAGAAACTTTTAAATGTAGCCGTCTCTTCTACTCCAATAGCTTCATACCTCGCACCTCTCGCCTGTGGAACAATTACTGCTTCCCTGAGAGCTATAATCTCCAACTATTCAAATGTAATGTCAATCGACATTTCCAGTTACCTTGATCTATCCACTATCCTTCTCCTCATCCTTTCTTCTATCACTCCTATCTGCTCTCGCTCCAAATCTTCTGCACCCCCCTGCATCCTAGTGGCTTCACGCCTTGCTCGAGGCGTAATGTTTAAAAAAACAAAAAAAACAAAAAAAAAAAAAACATAAAACAAGTGTCTAACAACGAGCAATCTAATGACAATACATACATATTCACGTGGATAAATAATGCATTTATATAAGTATAAACCGGAAACTACCTACACAATAGACTCTTCCAGGCCTATATTAAGTAGGCGACATAGCACTCTAGAGAGTGACAGATAGTGACACAGAGAGACAGTGAGAGTCTCGTACGACTACCATTATTGGACACTAACATATAGTAAGCTCCGCTTACACTATCTCTGTAACCTGTTGTTAATATATCTTTCTTACTTCTAATCCGTGTTCCGTGTTTTACTTCTGTGGTCCCAACTTTGGCCCCACATCAATAAGTAACTAAAATGAAAGTGTAGGCGGGATCTAACTTCTTTCTTATCTTTCCTCTCATATCTCCCTCCCTTCCTTCCTTATTTCCTACCTTCCTTCTTTTTTCTTTCTTTCCTTTCCGTCATCCCACCCATTCCTTCCTTCTTCTATTCTTTCCTTACTTTCATTCATTCCTTTCTTCCAATCATTCATTTTCTCCTTCCTTCTCACTTGTATCTGTTAACCTCTTCACACCTTCCTTCTCTCCTTTCTTTCTTCCTTCCTTCCTTCCTTCCTTCCTTCATTTACCTCATTCCTTCCTCTCTTCCATTCCTTCCTATCTTACTTCTAGCCATTCATTCTCTCCCTCTTTCTCACTCGTATCTGTTAACATCTTATCCTCTTCCTTCCTTCCTTCCTTCCTCACATTCCTTCCTTCCTTCCTTCCTTCCTCACATTTCTTCCTTTCAGTCATTCATTCATTCTCTCCTTCCTTCTCACTTTTATCCGATGTCTCTTCTTCATTTCCTTCATTTCTTCCTTTCGTCCATTCCTTCCTTCTTTTCCTTCCTCGATTTTCTTTCTCCCTTCTATTCCTTCTTTCCATTCATTCATTTTCTCCTACCTTCTCACTTGTATCCGTTAAGCCTTTTCTCCCCTTCCTTCCTTCCTTCCTTCCTTCCTTCCTTTTTTCCATTCCTTCCTTCCTCCCCGCATTGCTTTCTTTTTTCCATTCTTTCTTTCTCTCTCCCATTCCTTCCTTCCTTCCTTCCTTCCTTCTTTCCTTCCTTCCTTTTTTCCATTCTTTTTTTCCTCTCTCCCATTCCTTCCTTCGTTCCTTTCTTCCTTCCTTCCATTCCTTCCTTCCTTCCTTTCATTCATTCATTCTCCCTTTTATCCGTTAAGTCTCTTCCTTTCTTCCTTCCTTCCTTTTTCCAATTCCTTCCTTCCTCCCTCACATTCCTTACTTTCTTCCATTCTTTCCTTCCTTTCAGTCATTCATTCTCTCCTTCCTTCTCACTTTTATCCGATAAGTCTCTTCTTCCTTACCTTCATTTTTTCCTTTCGTCCATTCCTTCCTTTTTTTCCTTCCTCGATTTTCTTCCTCCCTTCTATTCCTTCTTTCCATTCATTCATTTTCTTCTACCTTCTCACTTGTATCCGTTAAGCCTTTTCTCCCTTCCTTCCTTCCTTCCTTCCTTCCTTTTTTCCATTCCTTCCTTCCTCCCCTCATTGCTTTCTTTTTTCCATTCTTTCTTTCTCTCTCCCATTCCTTCCTTCCTTCCTTCCTTCCTTCCTTCCATTTCTTCCTTCCTTCCTTCCTTCCTTCCTTCCTTCCATTTCTTCCTTCCTTCCTTCATTCCTTCCATTTCTTCCTTCCTTCCTTCCTTCCTTCCTTCCTTTCTTCTATTGCTTCCTTCCTTTAATTCATTCATTCTTTTCTCACTTGTATCCGTTAACCATTTTCCCCTTCCTTCCTTCCTTCCTTCCTTTTTTCCATTCTTTTTTTTTCTCTCTCCCATTCCTTCCTTCCTTCCTTCCTTCCTTCCTTCCTTCCATCCATTCCTTCCTTCGCTCCTTTCTTCCTTCCTTCCATTCCTTCCTTCCTTCCTTTCATTCATTCATTCATTCTCCCTTTTATCCGTTAAGTTTCTTCTCCCTTCCTTTCTTTCCTTCCTTCCTTCCTTTTTCCATTCTTTTTTTCCTTTCTCCCATTCCTTCCTTCCTTCCTTCCTTCCTTCCATTCCTTCCTTCGTTCCTTTCTTCCTTCCTTCCATTCCTTCCTTCCTTCCTTTCATTCATTCATTCATTTTCCCTTTTATCCGTTAAGTCTCTTCTCTCCTTCCTTCCTTCCTTTTTTTCCATTCTTTTTTTTCCTCTCTCCCATTCCTTCCTTCCTTCCATTCCTTCCTTCGTTCCTTTCTTCCTTCCTTCCATTCCTTCCTTCCTTTCATTCATTCATTCATTCATTCCTTCTCCCTTTTATCCGTTATCTCTTCTCTCCTTCCTTCCTTCCTTCCTCTCGCCCATTCCTTCCTTTCCTCCTCCCATTCCTTCCTTCCATTTCCTCTTTCTTCTATTCCTTCCTTTCTCTCTTCTACTCCTTCTTTTCAGTTATTCATTCTCTCCTTCCTTCGCTCTTGTATCCGTTAAGCCTTTTCTCCACTTCCTTCCTTCCTTTTATTCCTTCCTTCCTTCCATTCCATCCTTCCATTCTTTCCTTCCTTCTTTCTTTCCATCTTTCCTTCCTTCCTTAATTTCTTCTTTCTTTCTATCCCTTCCTTCCGTAATTTCTCTTTTATTTTTCACTCTCTTAAACAGAATTGTATATTTTCTTCATTACTTGTTTCTCTCCTCAAAGTTGCTTTCTTTCTTTTCTTCTACCCTTTAGGCATTTCTTTTCTATTCTCGTTTCAATGCCAATTATTTCTTCCCCTCGAAAACTGTAACAATGAACCCTGGGAATTAAAAGAAGAGTGACTTAACGGATACAAAGGAGAAGCCACAGAAAGTAAATAAACAATATTAAAATTTAAAAAAGAAAAAAAGAAAAAAACACACCCACACTCACGAACAACCAACCTTTTCTTTAACCCGATTATATTTGCTATCACTTAAACTTACACTTCCGGAAGAAATGTTTTAGTTTTCATGTCGGCTTTCACATTGTATTTTCATGAAATGTGTGTTTTTTTTCTATCTTTCTTTATTCACAAATTAAAATTGTAAACACTTAACTCAAATAGCAGCTCTTATGGGGTCTGTTCGTGGTCTTCTCTTCAAATTAAAGGTTGTTTTCCTAATCATACTTAGAAATAAGCCTTTTTTTTAGCAATCATACGTAGAAATACGCGTTTCTCTTCTAAAATATACATAGAAATAGCATTTATTTCGTCATCATACGTAAAAGAAATACACGTTCTATCCCAATGACATCAAGAAATACGCATTTTTGCGCAGTCCAACATCGAAATGCACGTTTGGATGAATATAATCAAGTATTTTCTTCATGTTCTTGCTTAGATGCTTGCATCATTTAATAGTTTTTTACAAAATTGTTCACCTAGGCCTGGCTAGAAGTTAAGCAATCTCGAGACGGTTCAATACCAAGCTTGGTGACAGCTTGTGAATGCCAAGTGCTGTAAGCTTTGATGTGTTAATGGTGTAATGGATAAAGGCTCGGAATTATTAATCGAAGAGCCGATTTCTCGTACGATCAACGAAGATAAACAACGTCGAGCGGGGTCAGTCCCTAAATGGGTGACCACTTGAGAATGCCAGGTGCTATAAGCTTGGATGCGCTGGTGGTGTAATGAATAAAGGCTCGGAATTATTAATCGAGGAGCTGATTTCTCGTACGATCAACGAAGTTAAGCAACGTCGAACGTAGTCAGTCCCTAAATGGGTGACCGCTTGGGAATACCAGGAGCTGTAAGCTTGGATGTGTGCGTCGTGTAATGAATAATGACTCGGAATTATTAACTGGAGAGCCGATTTCCCGCACAATCACCGATGTATAATCGCGTTTGTAGCTGGTTTAAATATACCGGGTGTAACAGCAAAATTGTCCAAATCATGTAACAACATGAGCTAATTATCCATCTCACAAAATGTTTAATATCTACAAAACCACTAAACTAATTGGGCTTCTTTTTTTTCCAGGTTTTTAGATAAGACGTTTCGCCATCTTGTCGCCATTTGTATGAATCACTGAAAAGCCCATTTGAGTTATTCAGGTAGAAAGAGAACAGGTTAAAATCGTTTTGTGTTAACCCTACTACGTCTCCCCAGCTGAGCAATGGTGAGACAAAAATGCCACCATGGCATCAACATTCATACTCTGGCTTCCATCTTCAAATTACATTCAAGAACGATCAAGAAAACGGTGAATAACTATAAATAAGAGGGAACAGCAGGGGGGAAAACTGGATCAGGCGGTCACAACAGCAAATGAGATCATCATTTCAACTTCGAACTAAATACAGTATTATTGTTCAAAGTAGAGTCTAATAGGGTTATAAAAACCTCAGAAAATTCCAGTAATATATATTTAATCATTTCTAAGATACAATGGTTCAAAACTTAATCTAACAATTGGACAATTTTGCTGTTAAACGATTTGGACAATTTTGCTGTTACACGTGATATATATATATATATATATATATATATATATATATAGAGAAAGAGAGAGAGAGAGAGAGAGATAGAGAAAGAGAGAGAGAGGGGGAGAGAGAGAAAGAGAGATTATGAATTTAAAATAAGGCTTTTTGATAAAATAGAAAAAAGTTATTAAAATGATGAGTCGAACATACCACCTTACTAGCGTAGTGGCTTCTTGGTGTATGTTTTGTGGGGATTTTTTTCACTGAATCGGACCCTACAGTATAGCCATTAGTAGTTTAGCCAACCCACAGGGCTTTTTTCTTTGATTGTTTTTTTTTTTTCCTGTGAAGGTATGGGTATCCATGGGTTTTTCAAATTAAATTATTTGGTTTTCTTTTTTGATGCTTTAGATTATTTATGGTCACGGGTTATATAAAGCTTGTCCCCTCCCTTCTTTCGTTTGTGTTCAAGGCGTCTGGAAATCGTTTGAGCGCGAGACTCGAGCTACGACTAGGGCAATCCTTTCATTGGATTTAACGTTGGTAAACGTCTTTTCGTCTGCCTAGGATTCGAGCAGGTTACTATACTGAGTAGGTCAGTTTAACTAGACCAGGCATGGGTACCTTTTTCCGACTAGTGGCCGCATCATATGATGTTAAGTATAAGTTTCCTTTCTGTTTCCTTTTTTTTAAAAACTTCGTCGATGCTCATATGTTCAGTCCATGGTATCCTCAGCATCCAACTGAAGAACTAAATTTCTGTTGCTTCAAATTTCTACTTCATCTGTGTGTAGATTGTCCAACATTCATTGTCGTATAGAAATCTTTGTCTCTCATCTAATTCTATTCAGATTGTCTTACTGTATTCATTGAATACAACTGGTGAGATAAACACATTTTTATTTCATTCCTCTTTCTATATTTGTGTAATCACTAAACTCACTTTCACTATACGCTTTCATGTTTATTCCTCCCGTGTAAATCAAGCTTTTACGGATGCACCTGTAAAAGTCTAGCTCAGGCATGGCCACCTTTTCCGACCATTGGCCGCATCACATATGTCTCATCATACGGCCATGCCATTACTAAAATGATTCAAGGTATTTTTTTTATTGAAGCCATCTCAGTCATTTTCATCACACAAGAACAAACGTGTAAGCATCTGCCATAGAAATGTTGAAAGGTTGATTGTTGTTTTGTGAAACGATTTCTCAATAATTAAAATTGAAGTTTCTGTAGAATTCTATGACAGATGACAGTGTTGCTTGGGATTTATTGCTTATTTATTCATTTGAAAGTACAAAAGAAAAAATATAAATTGAAATATATATATGTATGTTTAGTGTTTTTTTTTCCCTGAACCTGACCCTACAATATGACCATTAGTAGTTTAGCCCACCCACAGGGCTTTTCTCTTTGCTTATTTTCTTTTTTCCCTGTGACATTATTTGGTTTTATTTTTTTCCCGTGATGCTTTAGGGTTATTTATGGTCACGGGTTATATAAAGCTGGTCCCCTCCCTTCTTTCATTTGTGTTCAAGGTGTCTGAAGATCATTTGAGCGTCAGACTCGAGCTACGACTAGGGCAATCCTTTCATTGGATTTAACGTTGGTAAACGTCTTTTCGTCTGCCTAGGATTCGAGCAGGTTACTATACTGAGTAGGTCAGTTTAACTAGACCAGGCATGGGTACCTTTTTCCGATTAGTGGCCGTATCATATGATGTTAAGTATAAGTTCCCTTTCTGTTTCCATTTTTTAAAAAAATTCGTCGTTGCTCATATGTTCAGTCCATGGTATCCTCAGCATCCAACTGAAGAACTAAATTTCTGTTGCTTCAAATTTCTACTTCATCTGTGTATAGATTGTCCAACATTCATCGTCGTATAGAAATCTTTGTCTCTCATCTAATTCTCTTCAGATTGTCTTACTGTATTCATTGAATACAACTGGTGAGATAAACACATTTTTGTTTCATTCCTCTTTCTATATTTGTGTAATTACTAAACTCACTTTCACTATCCGCTTTCATGTTTATTCCTTGTCGAGATTATCTTGACTGTGTAAATCAAGCTTTTACGGATGCACTTGCAAAAGTCTATATCAAGCCATGCAATAATATCATGTGTGATAAAATTCTAATTTTTAATTAATGAGACATCGTTTCTCCAAAACCAATCAACATTTCACCATTTCTATGGCAGATGCTTACACGTTTGGACTTCTGTGATGAAAATGGCTGATACAGCTTCAATAAAAATAATACATTGAATATCTTTAGTAACCCGGCCCGCCGTATACTGAGCCATATATGATACGGCCACTGATTGGAAAAGGTTGCCCATGCCTGGTCTAATCAAACCAACCTACTCACTATAGTAACCTGCTGGAATCGTGGACAGACGAAAAAATCGCTTACCAACGTTAAATCCAATGAAAGGATGGCCCTAGTCGTAGCTCGAGTCTCAAGCTCAAACGATCCCCAGACGACTTTAATGGAAACGAAAGAAGGGAGGGGACCAGCTTTATATAACCCGTGACCATAAATAACCTTAAAGCATCACGGGAAAAAAAAATAAAACCAAATAATTTCACAGGGAAAAAAGAAAATAAACAAAGAAAAATGCCCTGTGGGTGGGCTAATCTGGTAATGGTCATACTGTAGGGTCGGCTTCAGGGAAAAAAAACCACTAAACGTACATATATTTTTTAATTTATTTTTTTTTCTTTTATACTTTCAAATGAATAAATAAGCAATAAATCCCAAGCAACACTGTCATCTGTGATAAAATTCTACCGAGACTTCATTTTTTTAAATAATTTCCTCATAAAATTAGGGGTGTCGTTCAGAAGCCAAAACGAGTCGCAGTTTGTCCATGATTTCTCAAAGCGAAGTTATCCAACGGGGGCTGGTGAACCTATCGGGAATTATCAAGGAGAGGACTCATTCTGAACAATGTGTTACGTAGATAGCATTGCAACAAACTACAGGAAATCTTAGGCCAGGTTGTAAAAGAACGCATTAAGGAAGGGTTAGCCATCTTCTGTAAGAAATCAGTATGGTTGCCAACAAGAGAATAGGCCTAAGCTGAGAACTACGGATTAGCTTGGCGAAAAATGCCTTTCAAAAACTAAACAAAATAAGAGCGAAGAGGAAAATTTTCTTCGAAACAAAGAAATCTGTGCTAGATTGATATGTGGATGCGAGACAATATACACATAGATGAAGCGGAGACTGGAGGCCACAAAAATGTCGCTTTACAGAAGGATACTGAGAATGCCATGGA